AAAGTGGGTTCCTCGTCATCGAATTAGAATTTACTTTACTTGTACGAAACTGAATGTTATGGAATTCTTATAGTGTTGTCCTTCACACGGTGACGAAAACTATCTTTAAACTTCGGAGAAGAAACTTGAAAAACAAATGTTTCTTGTTAGAGTAGACTTAAGCATCAAACTTTGTAAGTTTCATATGTATATTTAACGACCAAATAATAGTTTCTCAAGTTTATATAAAGTTTCTTATTCTCAACACAGTTAAAAAGAACTTTGTTACTACTTAAATGGTTAGCACGTTCAAGGCTGTGTGAATCATGTGTGTGAACCTATCGTGAATTGTGTGTGTGTGTGAACCCACCGTGAATCATGTATATGTACCGTAAATCAAGTGTGTGAACCCATCGTGAATCAAGTATGTGTGTGAACCCATCGTGAATCAAGTATGTGTGTGTGAACTTACCGTAAATCAAGTGTGTGAACCCATCGTGAATCACGTATGTGTGTGTGAACTTACCGTAAATCAAGTGTGTGAACCCATCGTGAATCAAGTATGTGTGTGTGAACTTACCGTAAATCAAGTGTGTGAACCCATCGTGAATCACGTATGTGTGTGTGAACTTACCGTAAATCAAGTGTGTGAACCCATCGTGAATAAAGTATGTGTGTGTGAACTTACCGTAAATCAAGTGTGTGAACCCATCGTGAATCAAGTATGTGTGTGTGAACTTACCGTAAATCAAGTGTGAACCCATCGTGAATCAAGTATGTGTGTGTGAACTTATCGTAAATCAAGTGTGTGAACCCATCGTGAATCAAGTATGTGTGTGTGAACTTACCGTAAATCAAGTGTGTGAACCCATCGTGAATCACGTATATATGTGTGAACTTACCGTAAATCAAGTGTATAAACCCATCGTGAATCAAGTATGCGAACTTATTGTAAATTAAGTGTGTGTCAACTTATCTTAAATTTATAATAACATTATACAGTATCACGGTTCAGATGTACAGGTTATTTATAATAATATTATACAGTATCACGAATCAGATGTAGTTTGTGTAGTTTTACGCTAAAATAACAAAAACACCATTTTGTATTAAGCTACAAATATTTAAGTTCAGCTGCTGTAAACAGGTTTGTTTGTTTGTTTTAAAGAAAAGCCATATTGGACTATCTGTTGTGTCTAACGTGGGGAGTCGAGCCCCGAATTTTAGTGTTGTAAGTCTGTAAACTTACTGCTGTCACACCGTGGGACCTATAAACGGGTATGATGAATCCCCTAGATACATTGCATTAGTTTTTGTTCATAGCAAAGCTACTAAGACTGCCGACGATAGAGAAGATAACCGGCCGGCAGCACTTGCCGCGAACTTTTGGCTTATCCTTCACCAATGACTAGTGGGATTGGTCATTGTATTATTTAACTTCACCACGAATTGAACGGGCGAGTATGTTCGGCGCCGGGATTCGAACCAGCAACCTAGAGATTGCGAGTCGAGGGCACTAACCACTAGGTCATGCCAGGTCCGTTACGTCAGAGTAATTTATTTACGGTCAATAGTAATAAGATACTTGCTTAAATATCAAAGTGTTTAAGCCATCGATATATATACCACCAGAATAACGTACTTTCGGCTTATAGTATCCATTACTTACTTCCAACATACACATCTATTACGTACTTCCGGCATATAGTACCTATTATGTACTTCCGGAATATAGTATCACAATAAAGTACTTCCGGAATATAGTATCACAATAAAGTACTTCCGGTATATAGTACCTATTACGTACTTCTGGCATATAGTACTTATTACGTACTTCCGGAATATAATATCACAATAAAGTACTTCTGGAATATAGTACTTATTATGTACTTCCGGAATATAATATCACAATAAAGTACTTCCGGTTTATAGTACCCGTTATGTACTTCAAGTGGGTGGGAGTATTTGAGCTACCGGTAAATAATGCTAGAGAACTACATTTAAAGTATAGCATGTGTTGAGCTTCTACCAAATACCATGATAATGATGTAAATTATATCTGCAGGTGAGTTTCTTCTCCACAAGTCCGGAACTGAGCAACAAGCAGAGATTCGAATACTTCCTTCGAACTGTACCATCAGATACTAACCAAGCTCAGGCGATGGTCAAAATAGTTAAGATCCTCAACTGGACCTACGTCTCAATCTTGTACGAAGAATCTACTTACGGAATTAAAGTGAGTTAAATGTGTGTACTAATTACAACCCGAATGAAAATGAAAATGTATTTATTTAACATTCAAGTATTTTTGAAGCATTTATTTGATTAGCTTATATTAAATCACTTGTTAAGCCTCTACTTGTTCGTGTGTGTGTGAATAGATAGTGCTAAAAAGACAACGGAAAGAAAAAGAATATTTGTTGATTGGGTTTTGTGAAGTTTGATTGGTTCTTGTTAATAGCAGAGTTCTTTATAGTGGCCCGGCACGGCTTGCTGATTGGGTTTTGTTAAGTTTGATTGGTTCTTGTTAATAGCAGAGTTCTTTATAATGGCCCGGCACGGCTTACTGATTGGGTTTTGTGAAGTTTGATTGGCTCTTGTTAATAGCCGAGTTCTTTATAATGGCCCGGCACGGCTTGCTGATTGGGTTTTGTTAAGTTTGATTGGTTCTTGTTAATAGCAGAGTTCTTTATAGTGGCCCGACATGGCTTACTGATTGGTTTTTGTGAAGTTTGATTGGCTCTTGTTAATAGCCGAGTTCTTTATAGTGGCCCGACATGGCTTACTGATTGGTTTTTGTGAAGTTTGATTGGCTCTTGTTAATAGCCGAGTTCTTTATAGTGGCCCGACATGGCCAGGTGGTTAGGGCGCTCGACTCCCAATCTGCGGGTCGCGGGTTCGAATCCCTATCACACCAAACATGCTCGCCCTTTCAGCCATGGGGGCGTTATAATGTGACGGTCAATCCCACTATTCGTTTGTAAAATAGTAGCCCAAGAGTTGGCGGTGAGTGGTGATGACTAGCTGCCTTCACTCTAGTCTTACACTGCTAAATTAGGGACGGCTAGCGCAGATAGCCCTCGTGTAACTTTGCGCTAAATTCCTAACAAACAAACAAACAAATATTCGTTATAATTTACCTTCAAAGTAAAGAACAAAATTCAGTGCATCTGTCGTGTTTCGTTAATAGAGGGTGTCATTTTTCCAGATTGACGTGTTAATTCGGTTTTAAGTAGAGTGCTCTAATACGAAAGTTCATTACGCTGCTTTGCCTTTGCAGACTTTCTCCACACGTTTTAGTTCTCCTTCAATTTTGATATTATATTATTTCGTGTTGTAGTTTTGCAGTTTTGGTTTGCTCAATAAATGATACACATGATCTAGTTGGACCGTCAGTTTCCTTACATAGACGTACGGATAATCGAAATACACAGGTTGAGGGAGATGACAGACTCACATTTATGGTAACTTTAGCGCCCTCTACAGACGTGAAAAGTAGAATAAGCAGGATGAAAAAAAAAAAGTAGATAAATTGCATTCCAAGAAAGCTACACTTCTTGAAGACAGATAGAAAATTTTTATCTTCAAGTTAAGATTTAATTTCATTAAGTCTTCGGTTTACCAGTTGTTAATGTTTTTTAACAGTAGGCAACAGAGTAGCATCAAACTTAAAACGATTTTTTAAAACTTTCTGTGATATTAGACTTTGATTTCAACGTCACACATTTTTTTTTGAAATATAAGTCAGCTCACTTTGGGAAAGTATATTATCTATTGGGCGATCGATTAGAGTAGAGTCAATAGTGCACTTGTGGAAAATTAACATATTTTTTAATATATTTTTATTAATTTAATGTGTGTTACATTTCGTTACTTAGCTCATTATTTCATTCGTTTAAAAAAGGGAGACGTAAGAAACCATATTTATTTAAGAGGGGGGCGTGGATAACAAAAGTTTGAGAAACGCTGCTTTAAAAAGAATCCATAAAGTGCCAATGAAAATTCCTCGTGCTATGGTCACTCAAAGTGGCAATAGTCATTTTGCTTGTCATGTACGAACATCGTTTAGCTTTTCATAGTTTTTAACCTTTTACTATGTGTGTCTATTTTCCGTCCAGTTTATACCGTACTGAATCCATAAAGTAAGTTAACGCGTGGTGTAATGTAATAACAGTATGACGTCATATTTTCACATTTCATATAAAACCTACTTACGAATGTGGAAAAGTGTTTTATTTACTTTATATTGCACGTTTTCAAACCTTGAATTACATCACATTTATTGTGCCGTTTCATTCGCTTTTTTCTATATGTTGACATCAGTAACACTATGTTGACATCAGGATTATATGTTGACATCAGTAACACTATGTTGACATCAGGATTATATGTTGACATCAGTAACACTATGCTGACATCAGGAGTTATATGTTGACATCAGTAACACTATGTAGATATCAGGATTATATGTTGACATCAGTAACACTATGTTGATATCAGGATTATATGTTGACATCAGTAACACTATGTTGATATCAGGATTATATGTTGACATCAGTAACACTATGTTGATATCAGGATTATATGTTAACATCAGTAACACTATGTTGACATCAGGATTATATGTTAACATCAGTA